GCGATCAGCCTTCTTTCTGGTCTAGCTTTCACTTCCATACTTCCATACATGATGTATGGAAGTGTATGGAAGTTCGAAATTAGCCGGGCACATTTTGTACCTGTCTATCGACCACTTGGGGCCAAGTCAAGATGCCTGGGCTCCAGGATGGTGCCTGACATGTCCATCATCTGGGGATCATTGGATCTGGACTGTTTTCACACACTAGTACCACGTCCTGTAGAATTTTCTCCGTTATATTTTATCTGCATAATCAGAATGCATTTTTGAAACCAAATTGTTGTTGTTTTCTGTGCAGCTATGAGTAGGAGCAGTCACCGTTAAGAAAAAGAGGTGCAAATAGGTCATTATATGTGTGGATTGTCCCTGGATAAGTTCTCAAAGTTCTTAAGCAAGCTCAAGGTTGTCATCTGAACTAGCCAGATGTTTAACAGAATCACAGTCAGTCCATCATTTGGAAAATAAGATTTTAGTGCTTGCCTCGGCAGCACATATACTAAAATTGGAGCATGGAAAATAAGACTTTAGAGCCTTCTCGCCCCCAAACGGCAACTAGACATTCCGTTTTGGCGACTGCAACCTTGGTTTAAGGAGCCATTTGGCGCCTAGCTTCTATATCTGAGTTTCTAACACTGGTTTGAGCTCTTTGGAGGAAAGCTGGGACAAGAAAGCCAATTAATATACAGTGCTACCTCGGGTTAAGAACTTAATTCATTCTGGAGGTCCGTTCTTAACCTGAAACTGTTCTTAACCTGAAGCACCACTTTAGCTGATGGGGCCTCCTGCTGCCGCTGCGCCACCGGCACGCAATTTCTGTTCTCACCCTGAAGTAAAGTTTTTAACCTAGGTACTATTTCTGGATTAGCGGAGTATGTAACCTGAAGCATCTGTAACCTGAAGCATCTGTAACCCAAGGTACCACTATAATAATATCATATCATATCATATCATTAATATACCATATTTTTTGCTCTATAAGACTCACTTTTTCCCTCCTCAAAAGTAAGGGGAAATGTGTGTGCGTCTTATGGAGCGAATGCAGGCTGCGCAGCTATCCCAGAAGCCAGAACAGCAAGAGGGATTGCTGCTTTCACTGCGTAGCGATCCCTCTTGCTGTTCTGGCTTCTGAGATTAAGATTTTTTTTTTCTTGTTTTCCTCCTCCGAAAACTAGGTGCACCCACTGGAAAGATGCAAAAACAAGGGCAGGGCCTCTTGCACTTTGAATAATTGTGCAGAAGAAGGCATTCCAAGAGTTTTCGCTTGCATGACAACCTCGCATGGGACAAAGATAGCCCCATCGGTGCTGCAAACCTTGCCGTTTGGTGCTTTGGGGAAATTGTGGCTTCCGGAAGCTGGCATTCCCCACCCCCACCCCCCGTAACATGAGGATAGGTAAAGGTAAAGGGACCCCTGACCATTAGGTCCAGTCGTGGCCGACTCTGGGGTTGCGGCGCTCATCTCACTTTATTGGCCGAGGGAGCTGGCGTACAGCTTCCGGGTCATGTGGCCAGCATGACTAAGCCGCTTCTGGCGAACCAGAGCAGCGCACGGAAATGCCGTTTACCTTCCCGCCAGAGCAGTACCTATTTATCTACTTGCACTGGCGTGCTTTCGAACTGCTAGGTTGGCAGGAGCTGGGACCGAGCAACGGGAGCTCACCCCGTCATGGGGATTCAAACCTCCAACCTTCTGATCAGCAAGTCCTAGGCTCTGTGGTTTAACCCACAGCACCACCCGTGTCCCTTTAACATGAGGATAGTTGAGAGCTAAGGGAATCACAGCGGTCTTATAGTCTTGGGGGATGTAATGGGATGGGTGCCAGGTAGCGCTTGCTTCTACTGGTCCTCTGTTGCAAGCCCCCTTCTTCCTCTCTCTCTGTGCCTAGTTCTCGCCCTCTGGGCAGTTAAATATAGTGCTGTTAAATATGTGCTGAGCAACAGTGCCAGAGTGCAGGCATACTGTGATTTTTTAAAGATACAATGCAGCCTGACCTATTACAATGGCACTCACGAAATCAAGACAGCTTTTGCTTATGTCTTGGCCTCTACATACTCGCTGTTTCCTTTCCGTCATTTCAGCCATGCTCCTCTGCAGGTTGGGACAACGTTGAAGCTAGGGCTAGCTTGGTGCATGAATTTTAATATGCTTGTAAATGCTAAAATCTGAATTATGACAGCCGCCTTCTTGCTGATTTTAAGCCGAAGAGAGCAAGATGCTGCATGTTGCCGAACCAAAAGGAAACCCAGCAAAGTTTTGCATTTCCGAGCATCATCAGAACATCCCACTTCTTCTGCTTTGCTGCTAATTTTCTGAACCATGAATTCATTTTTAAACACAGCCTACGTGCTGGAAAGGCTGGTTTTATGCATGCTGAGTGAGTCATAAATCAGAATTCGCTTCTTCTTTTCCATTGCTAGTTCCACCTTGTGATGATAAAGGCATTTGTCTTGTATCCTTCTCCATAGCCTTGGTCAACATTTTGATCTCCCAGTTCTCCTATAATGACCCACCATTATTAGCTTCTGCCACTTCCTCTAATTCAGATGAAATCACCAGCAATGGCAGCGCATGATGCTGTGATGTATGCTTGTAGTCATTGCATAGCATGGATGTAAAGCAAGGCACATCTAGCACCAATACAGTGGTACCTCAGGTTACATACGCTTCAGGTTACATTCGTTTCAGGTTGCAGACTCCACTAACCCAGAAATAGTGCTTCAGGTTAAGAGCTTTGCTTCAGGATGAGAACAGAAATCATGCTCTGGTGGCGTGGCAGCAGCGGGAGGCCCCATTAGCTAAAGTGGTGCTTCAGGTTAAGAACAATTCAGGTTAAGTACGGACCTCTGGAACGAATTAGGTACTTAACCTGAGGTACCACTGTAACAGCCTTTTGTAGGCATTATTTGGGCTCCACAACTTTCGGGTGTCCTGGTTTTTACTTTCTGAAATATGGCAAACCCTAGGCTTTTGGCGCATACCTGAATTTGTACATTCACAGAGCCTAGGACTTGCCGATCAGAAGGTCGGATGTTCAAATCCCCTTGACGGGGTGAGCTCCCATTGCTCGGTCTCTGCTCTTGCCAACCTAGCAGTTCGAAAGCATGTCCAAAGTGCAAGTAGATAAATAGGTACCGCTCCGGCGGGAAGGCTAACGGCGTTTCCGTGCGCTGCTCTGGTTAGCCAGAAGTGGCTTAGTCATGCTGGCCACATGACCCGGAAGCTGTACGCCGGCTCCCTCGGCCAATAAAACGAGATGAGCACCGCAACCCCAGAGTTGGTCACGATTGGACCTAATGGTCAGGGGTCCCTTTACCTTTACCTTTACCTTTTTTAGGCTTTTGGCGCATACCTAAATTTGTACATTCCTCAACTCGCCACTTTCAATCAGTGGTTTTGATCCTAAAATCCGGCAGCATTTATGATACGGGTGGTGATAATTAACTGAGCTAGGAGAAAAAGGGTTCTACTTTTTCATTTTTGGTAAGCATTTGAAGGTGTACGAGGGTCTCCCCGCCAGTTCCAGCTCTGCTTCTTCTGCAGAATAATCCTTCCACGCTCTCTTGGCGCCTGCTGCCAGCCTGCCTGCCTCTGCAAGGATTGTGGCAGCCCTTGCAAACTTGATCTGATTTATAACAGGTGTTCTAATGCCAGAGGGCAGTTGGTGCCCTGTCTATAACAGGCTACCTGTTGCAGCAGCTCCCTGGCTTTATATTTCGCCTCTCCCGTTTTTTTCCACTTGGCCTTTGCTCTGGCAGGGAGAAGGGGCCAGGAGGAGCGCATTGGCCTGTGTCGAAACCGGACCTGGCTGTGTGTCCGGCACTGCCCCCGTCCCCGGTCCCCTTGAACTGTGCCAAAAATCTCCTTGCAGATTTTGGCGCCTGCCAACACCACTGAGCCCCTTTGAATAAGGTGCACGAGGCCAGGTTTCCCTCTTGCCCACTGCTGGGGACTTTTCTGCTCTCCCGGCCCGCCCATCCCCCTTTGCAGAGGAAGGAAGCCTTGGCCACAATAGGACTTTGTTTGCCTGTATCTTACTCAGCAATGTGCTTGTGCAATTCTGCACAGCCCCGGAGCCCAGTGCCAAGGTCGGCTGAGGATACAGAAACCCGTTCAGCTGCTGCAGCTTGCGGTGTGTGCAGTGGGGTGGGGGGGTGGGGGTGGCTAGCCAGACAGACTGTGGCCTGGGAGGGGCAGCAGCCCAGACGAGGCAGCCTGGGAAAATTGCAGATTAATAATTCGCTCCCATGTGTGGTTGGGGAAATGGGAAGGGCAACGTTACTGTGCATTTTCTCCCAGTCTCTCTTCAGACCGGCCTCTTGCTTTTGTGTGAGAACACACACACACACACAAAGAAAAAATATAATAATGTGCGGCAGAGGGTGTTGTTCCGGCTCTTGAAACCACCCCAGTCTTAAAAGCCTTCTAATATGTCTTCTAACACGGGTGGCATTGTGGGTTAAACCACAGAGCCTAGGACTTGCCGATCAGAAGGTCGGCGGTTCGAATCCCCGCAACGGGGTGAGCTCCCGTCGCTCGGTCCCTGCTCCTGCCAACTTAGTGTGGCAAGGCCACCTGGAAGAGTTTTACCTTTACATTTTCTGTACAACCATGTATCCTAATAATGCTTAAATTGTTAAGGCTAGAAGGGCCTAAAATCTTACGAATCCAAAGTCTCTCTCTGCCCTGTTCAAAAACACGTCAAAGTGCAAGTAGATAAATAGGTACAGCTCCAGCGGGAAGGTAAACGGCGTTTCCGTGCGCTGCTCTGGTTCGCCAGAAGCGGCTTAGTCATGCTGGCCACATGACCCAGAAGCTGTACGCCGGCTCCCTCGGCCAGTAAAGCGAGATGAGCGCCGCAACCCCAGAGTCGGCCACGACTGGACCTAATGGTCAGGGGTCCCTTTACCTTTAACATGTCTCCTTATCCAAATCACCTGCAAAGCGTAGCTTTGTTTTCTTGTGTCCTGATCAGTGTCTCCCCCCTCCCCTTGCTTTTCAGGGAGCTCCCTTGCAGGTGAACGTCACTCAACCCAGTCGGACCAGCAGCGGTTCTGAAAGGTGAGCAGCGAAGGGTCGTGGGGCAGCTTGGTCGGTAGAAGCACAAGGCTCTGAATCTCAGGGTTGCGGGTTGTATCTCCACGTTGATCAAAAGATTCCTGCGTTGCATGTGGTTGGGCCTGTAATAAACAAAAATTCCCATAAGGGAATAAGGACAGATTTTTATGACCCTTGCGGTCCCTAACAACTCTTCAATTCTGATTCAGTTTGGGGCGTGGCACTCAAATAAGCAAATGTGTTATTGGGGGTGGGGTAGCTGTTCATGGCAGAATTCTGGCTCCTGTCAGCAGAAACCTGTAGGATCCTGCAACTAATGTGATTGGCTTAGGCCCTGACACTTATTCCTTTTTTAAAAAAATTAAAGACCTATTTGGTCATCTAGATCTTTTCCCCACTCCAGTGCTTGCATTCTAAGTCAGAACCCCTTCCCATCAAAGGCCAATGACTGCCTGCCCTTTCTGTTTGTTGCCAACTTATTCCCTTCTTCTTCGAAGCTGTCATCAGGCTCCACCTTTGGCCAAAAGCAAAATACTGGAAAGGCATTAGTGAATATAGTTTTTATAAAAATCCCTACGGCTGAATCCTGCCTCCGTGACAAGCCACCTTGCTTCAAAGTCCTACCTTCTCATTTGGGATGTGCAGTGGTTGGCAGCAGTAGCTACGTGCTAAGGGAGGATCACGCACTGCATGTGATTTTCTTGTTGCATGTTTAAAAAAACCCAGTCCTGGGACTTGGTCCTCTCTCAAGTTAGCATATGACTGGGGGTTCCTACTGACTTAGATTGCAGGCATAGGAGTGTGGGAAAGATCATTCTAGCTGCCCAAATAGGTCTTTAATTTTTAAAAAAGAATAAGTGGCAGGGCCTAAGCTTGCCTAGAAAACCAGCCCTCTCCCCTGAAAGTATTTCCTCTGATTTCAGATATCTGGGGGCGGTTGTGTGGGGAGAACACTTTGTACATGTTCAGATGCACTCTGATCCCAGGTTCAGTTGCTGATATCTTCGAGTAGGACTAGGGAGAGAAACCCCATCTGAAACTCTGGAGAACCACTGCAAGTCATTGTAGATTATTATTATTCATTTATTTCATTTTTATACCGCTTTATATTTTTAAGAAAAATCTCAAAGCGGTTTACTTCATATTAAACATCAATAGAACAATCCAGAATCAAACATTCCTGAAGAAAGTACACAGTCAAAGCAACACAATTAACAGGAAACCAAAATACCATCTCAAAGATTTCAAAATAAAACATTACAAAGGAGGTCAACTACAGAATACATATTTAACACAAAGTTAATGAAAACAAAACAAAAATCTTAAAACATTTCAAAAGAAAACATTTCTGAGTAAAGTCAAATATAAAACGCACATTTAAAACAGCATAATTAACAAGAGAATAAAATATATCATAAGCGTGACACGGCTGCTGGGCAGGCACATAAAAGATGGGGCAAAAGGACCCAATAATTAGAATTCGTTGTCAGGCATCACCATAGATGATGCTGAGCTACACAGACCAGTTTCCTGACACTGAAAACCTAAGAGTTCAGCCCTAATTTGGGGGGCATTTCTCATGGGCCTCAGACTAATGCGTCCCAAGAGCGCCTTGTTTTGTTCCTTTTTGGAAGGTTTCTCCCTTCTTTCTCAACTAGAGAGCAACTGGGAGAGAGAGAGGGAGAAGCGATTGTGGGAAGAATTCTGTCTGGTGACCCTCACTCCTCCCGCCCCGCTTGCAAGCTAATGGTTCCCAGCTGGGGTCAGGCCTAGCGAGGGCGCCTGGAGGAAAGGGACTCTAGCATCTTCCTCTGTTGCAAGACAGGGCCTGGGAAAAGGCCGAGGGGAACTGAGGCCCATGTGCGAAGCTGAGAGCTCTGGGGTTCGTCCTCCGCAGAGCGAGCGTCTGAACATAGCTGTGCCTGAGCGCCTGGGGAAAGGGAAAGGGGCGAGTGATGCCTTTTGGAAGGGGGGTTAAAAACATCTAGGTGGCAGACACACACACACACACACACATGCGCAGCTAGACTGGTGACTGGGCATGGCTGCCAAGACCACATAACACCAGTCTTGAAAGACCTACATTGGCTCCCAGTACCTTTCTGAGCACAATTCAGAGTGTTGGTGCTGACCTTTAAAGCCCTAAATGGCCTCGGTCCAGTATATCTGAAGGAGCATCTCTACCCCCATTGTTCTACCCGGAAACTGAGGTCCAGCACCGAGGGCCTTCTGGTGGTTCCCTCACTGCGAGAAGTCAAGTTTCAGGGAACCAGGCAGAGGGCCTTCTCGGTAGTGGCACCCGCCCTGTGGAACGCCCTCCCACCAGATGACAAGGAGAACAACAACTACCAGACTTTCAGAAGACATATGAAAGCAGCCCTGTTTAGGTATTTTAATATTTTTTTTGGAAGCCCGCCCAGAGTGGCTGGGGAAGCCCAGCCAGATGGCCAGGGTATAAATAATAAATTATTATTATTATTATTATTATTATTATTATTATTATTATTATTTGTAGAGTTGGGACCACACGGGTCATTTAATCCACCCCCCCTGCAGTGCAGGAATCTTTTTGCCCGATGTGGGGCTCAAACCCACGACCCTCAAATTCCGAGTCTCGAGCTAGGCGTTTGGACGAAGGACAACAGGAGGGGCCTGAGATGGGTGCCGCCCAATCTGCACTCGAGCCCCAGGACCTATTCTCATTACCAGGGCGAGCAAAGTGGTCAACGAAGGAGAGTGAGCAAGTGGAGGCGTTGATTTTTCTCATCATGGTATCACGTGCTTCCGGGTCAAAGGCTGTGGGATTGGCTGGCAGCAGCACCTCTTGTCTTGGTTGGAGAGCTTTTCTTTCTACCTGAGCTCACCTGGCAGGCTATCAGGGTGCCAGTACGTTTCCGAGCACAATTCAAAGTGTTGGTGCTGACCTTTAAAGCCCTAAACTGCCTCAGCCCAGTATATCTAAAGGATCATCTCCACCTCCATTGTTCAGCCCGGACACTGAGGTCCAGCTCCGAGGGCCTTCTGGCAGTTCCTTCACTGCGAGAAGTGAGGTTACAGGGAACCAGGCAGAGGGCCTTCTCGGTGGTGGCACCCGCCCTGTGGAACGCCCTCCCACCAGATGTCAAGGCAATAAACAACTATTTTACTTTTAAAAGACAACTGAAGGCGGCCCTGTTTAGGGAAGTTTTTAATGTCTGACGCTCTATTGTTTTTAATATTCGGTTGGAAGCCGCCCAGAGTGCCTGGGGAAACCCAGCCAGATGGGCGGGGTATAAATAATAAATTATTATTATTATCTTGGGTGGGGCCAAAGCCAGCAGTAGATGTGGCCAGGACCAAAACGTAGATGGGGCCTTTCTCTTTCCCTCTTATTCTCCACTTTGCAATCTGCTATGGGAGTGGAAGGGTCACTCTTGCCAGAAGCCTTAAACTGGCCTTCAAAGTTAGTCCGACTTTTGCTATTTGCCTGCCCTTGTCTTGGAGTAACTGGGAGTCTTGGGTTTCCGGTTTTCCATCTCCCTTGTGGGGTGTGTGGGGATCCCCAATCTACCTCCCTCTCTGGTCATAGAAGGCCCTCCCCCTAAGCCCCAAATGGAATCATAAGTGCTTGTTCCGTACAGTGGTGCCTCGCAAGACGAAAATAATCCGTTCCGCGAGTCTCTTCGTCTAGCGGTTTTTTCATCTTGCGAAGCAACCCTATTAGCGGATTAGCACTATTAGCGGTTTAGCGGCTATTAAAGGCTTAGTGGCTTAGCGGCTAAAAGGCTATTAGTGGCTTAGCGGCTTAGAAAAAGGGGGGGGAAGCGGAAAAAAATCGCAAGACTCGCAAGACGTTTTCGTCTTGTGAAGCAAGCCCATAGGGGAAATCGTCTTGCGAAGCAACTCAAAAACGGAAAACCCTTTCGTCTAGCGGGTTTTTCGTCTTGCGAGGCATTCGTCTTGCGGGGCACCACTGTATTAACTAACGATAGTACCCCTGAGCACCTGAAATGTAGTTTAGAGTCACCCCCCAAGAAGGAGAATATTGTATATCCCGGACCCATGGAAGTGTACAAATGGGAAATAGCACTTGCAAGTGGACCCTATGCCATGGGATGGAGTCAAAATTCAGAGATGGCGGTGGGTGGATAAGGCTGGAAATCGCTTAACTATTTTGCACATTTTGGAGCAGTGCTGGCGACACTTGGGTGGGGGCAATGCAAATATGCAAGTCAGATGCAAAAATAAATAAATAAAATAAATAATGTGGGGCTGGACTCCCTTCATAGAGAGGGTTGCAGAATTTAGGGGTAGGGTGGGGGCAAGCCCTTCCCTTCCTCTTTCGTCGTTGCCCCCCCTTCCCCAAATGCACACACTGTTCCCTCGGACAATCCAGCCGGCATCCTCTCCTCTTCCTGAGCTCCTTCGTTTCCCAAATTCTTGGCAGCCTTTCTATATAAACAGCTTATTTTTAGCCGGAGGTTAACAGTGCAAGAGCTGGCGGCCCACTTTCCCACAGCCGTGGAGGGAAGTGGGTGTGGGGCCGCGTCCGAGGAAGGGGAGAAAAAGCCGTGGGGACGGGTGCTGGAATGAGCGGAGGCCGCAGTTTGGGGTTCTGTGGGGAGGGAGGCGAGGAAACATGGGAGCAGGCAGTTTTCAAACCCTGAGCCCCACCTTTAGCTGAACATTAGCAAATTTGGGGCTGTGTTTTAATTTTTGACCATATAGGTTGTGAACCCGCTTTAGTTCCAGCTGAAATGCAGTTTTTTTGACTCCCGACCCACCAGTTGGAGACCAGGCCTCTGGGTATGGGTCACACTCAGGGTGGATTTGATTTAAATCATAATTGATTTAAAACACAATTTTAAACACTAGTCAGTAAGACTTGATTTAAATATATAATTTTTTAATAGAAAGACTCATTCTTGCTGGTATATTCTTAATATTGACAGCCAGATGGAGGTTTCTTTTTTGGAAGAATAAATTTTCAGAGTAGTTTCTGCAGTTGCATCAAAAATTACTGATGTGGTTATGCTGTTAGAAATACGTAGAGAGATGATTGTGAAATTGTTGTGAGGTTTAATAAGTTAACTGTTTGGACAACTTTCTGCTGTACTTTATTGGAAGGAGGAAATCAATAATTTCCTTAACAACAATTTAAACAATTTATTTAACTAAAACAATAACATTACAGCGTATGTATCCATGTTTGTTAACCGATGTGGTTAAACAACAAAAACAGACTGAGTTTTAGCACACATGAAAAACTTAAAAACAAATCCTTATTTCCTGATGAATAGCCTTTGGACTATAATGTAGCTTAAATAGAAAACTAGAAAGATTTTTTTTCTCCAAAAGCATTTTATTTAAAAAATCCAATTGAAATAAAAAAAAAATTCCAATTTAAAAATTTGATTTATTGTTTTAAAAGTTGATTTTTATTCACCCTGGTCACACTAGGGCCTCAGGTTGATACTTCCATTTCTTTACCTCAGAGGTGCATAAAGCCCTGAGGTAAAGCAAATGTGGCCCTTCAAGGCTCTCTGTTTGGCCCTCAGCACCTCCCCCTTGCAGCCACACCCTGTCTCTCCAGACCGCAGTCCTCACCAGCCCCAGAATATTGCCTGACTGGAATATTTCCTTGGACTCAGAGGGGCATAGAAACTAGCCTACATGGAAAGGTTGGAGCATTTGCATTTGTTGCTCCACCCACTCTTGCCTGTGGCCCCCAGAAGCTTGCTGAGAGGCGAATGCGGCCCCCGAGCTCAGCGAGGCCCAGCTTGACCCGCTCTGTCGTCCCGCAGGTCTCTGCCAGTGTCCGAAGAAACGCACAGTCTTATCACGGAGAAGAAGAGCGGGAGACTGCAAGGAGAACCCGATGCTATCGTGAAAGGTGGGGTCTTAATGCAGCGCCACTCCCTGAGCAGAATCGGGGCTCCTTGGTTTTGCTTGGGTTTTCATTATTCCTGTCACTCGACACTGCCTAGCCTTTTTCAGCAGGTTGGTTCCCAGTCATTTGGAGGAGCGACAACGTGCGTGTTGAAGGGGTGAAAAGCGTGGTACTTTCATTGCAAGTTGCGCTCAGTTAAAGAGCAGCCACAAAGTGTTTAGGGGACGCGGGTGGCGCTGTGGGTTAAACCACAGAGCCTAGGACTTGCCGATCAGAAGGTCGGCGGTTCAAATCCCCGCGACGGGGTGAGCTCCCGTTGCTCAGCCTTCTCCTGCCAACCTAGCAAGTTTGAGTGCAAGTAGATAAATAGGTACCGCTCCGGCGGGAAGGTAAACGGTGTTTCCGTGCGCTGCTCTGGTTCGCCAGAAGCGGCTTAGTCATGCTGGCCACATGACCCGGAAGCTGTACACTGGCTCCCTCGGCCAGTAAAGCCAGATGAGTGCCGCAACCCCAGAGTCGGTCACGACTGGACCTAATGGTCAGGGGTCCCTTTACCTTACAAAGCAGTTGTGCAAGATACTGGATGAGCTGGCCAGCTCTTTTTGCCTTCTCCATTCTGGCGCTCTCCAGATCCCATCATTCCTGGCCGTTGGGCCATGCTGGCTTGGACTGGTAGAAACTGCGCTTGACACCAACTTGGGGAATGCTGCTTTGACCTTGGAGCCAGACCGCAGCCTCTCTGCACATTCTGAAACGGTTGTTCTTGAGGCATAATTGTGCATTTTTCACCGTTTCATTAACATTCGCTTTTACAGTCTCTCGTTGTTGGCATCCACCTGTCTTGAGAGACAATGGAGTGCTCCTCCAGGGGTGAAGTCAAAACTGCTGTGATGGCCACCCCGGGGTGCAAGCCTAGGCAGTGTGTATGGAGGTCCTGGGCTGCCCGGACAACAAGACACACACACACCCCTTTCAGCCTCTCTGATGTGGTCCAAAGGAAAGCAGAGTAATACGTTGGGCGCCAGTTTGCCTGCAGGAGTTGCCGGAATGAAGCGTACAAGGCCCCATCCAACCATCTTAGGGACTCCACTCCAAATTTGTGTAGGGTTTACTCCTGAGCCTTCTCTTCTTCTGGAGATATCCCTCAAGGCGCGGGTGGCGCTGTGGGTAAAAGCCTCAGCGCCTAGGGCTTGCCGATCGAAAGGCCGGCGGTTCGAATCCCCGCGGCGGGGTGCGCTCCCATTGCTCGGTCCCAGCGCCTGCCAACCTAGCAGTTCGAAAGCACCCCCGGGTGCAAGTAGATAAATAGGGGCCACTTACTAGCGGGAAGGTAAACGGCGTTTCCGTGTGCGGCTCTGGCTGCCAGAGCAGCGATGTCATGCTGGCCACGTGACCCGGAAGTGTCTCTGGACAGCGCTGGCCCCCGGCCTCTTGAGTGAGATGGGCGCACAACCCTAGAGTCTGTCAAGACTGGCCTGTACGGGCAGGGGTACCTTTACTCCTGAGCCTTCTCTTCTTCTGGAGATATCCCTCAAGGCAGCAGAGGTTTTGGATCAGAGTATTCCTTCTCCTATGGGACGCGGGTGGCAAGTCCACAGAGCCTAGGACTTGCCGATCAGAAGGTCGGCGGTTCGAATCCCCGCGACGGGGTGAGCTCCTGTTGCTCGGTCCCTGCTCCTGCCAACCTTGCGGTTCAAAAGCACATCAAAGTGCAAGTAGATAAATAGGTACCACTCCAGTGGGAAGGTAAACAGTGTTTCCGTGCGCTGCCCTGGTTTGCCAGAAGCGGCTTAGTCATGCTGGCCACACGACCCAGAAGCTGTACGCCGGCTCCCTCGGCCAATAAAGCAAGATGAGCGCCGCAACCCCAGAGTCGGCCACGAGTGGACCTAATGGTCAGGGGTGCCTTTACCTTTTTACTATTCCTTCTCCTACATAGATGGGCTACCTTCCCAGGTTGACCAGCCCTATCTGGCCCACCTGTAGAAGCAGAAAGAGAGCCGAAGTGTCCTTGGGGTGGGGGTCAACCTGAGCACAGGCTCCACCTCACCATCTTTCTATTGCCTCTTCCAGGCTGGCTGCAACGGGAGGTCCGGGGAGGTATAAAGACCCCTTGGCTGCGTCCTCGCAAGTACTGGTTTGTGCTGACGGAGGATTCCCTCGACTACTATAGCGGGTGTGAGGTGACGGCCCGGTGCCTTGGTTCGCTCGTCCTCACCAGTCTCTGTTCTGTGCTGTGGCCTGACAAGCAGACCTACAAGGAAACAGGTAAAGAATGTGGGCCTGTGCCTGGCTGTGGAGCTCCTTTGCTTGGGTATCGAGCCTTTTAGCACAGGGTTGGAGAACCTCAGATCCAATTGTGGCCCTCTGAACCCTTTCCTCTGGCCCTTGGGATTCTCCTCAGACCACGCCCTCTTCAACTTGGGGGGTGGGGTAGGAACCAACGACATTTCTGTCCGGATTTTCACTTTTTGAAATATGGCAAACCGACTGGAACGTGACCTTGTAACTTGTTTGGGTGGAGGTGTGTGTTGCGTGTAGAAACTCCCTTTTTGTGTGCCCTTTGTGCGGCTGGAGTGCAGCCTTCTGTACAAAGGGAAGAATCGTGCCTATTGCTCTGCCCATGTTCGTGTCTGCCCTGCCCATTCCAGGCACCCCTGGCCTGTGAGGAAATGTGGCCTTTGAGCCGAAGCAGGTTCCCAACTCCTGTTTCAGCTTTCTTTGATTGATTGATTGATTGATTGATTATATGCCGCCCATCAGACTGGGTTGCCGCAGCCACTCTGGGCGGCTTCCGGCAAATGAAAACATCAAACACAGTAAAACGTCAAACATTTAAAACTTCCTTATGCAGGGCTGCCTTTCCATGCTTCCTAAAAGTCAGATAGTCATTTATTTCCTTGACATTTGAGGGCAGCGCGTTCCACAGGGTGGACACAGCGACCGAGAAGGCCCTTCTGCTTTTTGCTACCTCGGTCTCAAAGCTGCTTTTCTACAATAGAAATTCATTGCATGCAAAATGTAAAAACATAAATTAAACCACAGAACCTTGGGGATTTTTAAAATATTGAAAAACTTAAGAGGGAAAGCATCAGGAAATTTAAACTTCGGAGAAGTGTTAAAGACAAAGGCCTCCTAAGTTCGAAAGGAAAGATATAGATATAAAAGGGTAGCCTCTCTATGACCTGTGTGTGGATGTCATGGGGAATCCAAAGCCTTTTCTCTTCCTACTTCCCGCATTTCTGTGTTCCTTCCAGGGCTATATCTGCTACTAATGCTAATAGATATAGATAGATAGCTATATATCTATATGGTGTGTAAATTAAGGCCTGTACACTTCCTGCTTCATCCTAGGGTGTGTGTATAATTTTGGGTTGCCATATGTCTGGAATTTTTCAGACATTGCTGGGATTCAGCCGTTGGAAACAGTGTCTGGGTGGAAATTGCTTAAATGTCCGGGAAAGTCTGGGCTTATGGCAACCCGTGTTGGAAGTGTAGATCAGGGCTTACTGGGCATGGGCTGGATCACTCCCTTGGAGATCATGGGCTGGACCAGTGCATCGTAGTGCCGGAAATCGCTTTTGCGTATGCCCAGATGCCGGAAATCACAATTTCCAGTGTCTGGGCATGCGCAGAAGCGATTTCCAGAGCCGTAGAAGAGAGTCCCCATGCTGCGCCGGTTTAGCACAGCACGCGGGGACTCGCCGACTGGGCAGCTCAGTTCGGGGGCGGCGGCTCATGAGCCAGTTAGGCAACTGCCTTAAGTTGCTGACATCTGGTGTAGGTTCTGGCCAATTTCCTTAAAAATAGCTCAAAAGCATCTTTTTCTGTTTTGTTTTTTTTAGATTTAAATAGGAGCTGAGAAACTTTTGTGTCCAGATTTTCACTTTTTGAAATATGGCAACCCTAGTATATTTACAGGGACGTGGGTGGCGCTGTGGTCTAAACCACAGAGCCTAGGGCTTGCCAATCAGAAGGTCAGCGGTTCGAATCCCCGCAACGGGGTGAGCTCCCGTTGCTCGGTCCCTGCTCCTGCCAACCTAGCAGTTCGAAAGCACCTCAAAGTGCAAGTAGATAAATAGGTACCGCTCTGGTGGGAAGGTAAACGGCGTTTCCATGCACTGCTCTAGTTCACCATCATGCTGGCCACATGACCTGGAAGCTGTCTGCGGACAAACGCCGGCTCCCTCGGCCTATAGAGCGAGATGAGCGCCACAACCCCAGAGTCATCTGCGACTGGACCTAATGGTCAGGGGTCCCTTTACCTTTACTATTATACTTATACCTGTGTATACGTGTGTGTGTGTTTCTATTAATCACATGCTGGTACTCCCTTCTCTCTCCCTTCTTCGCAGGATACTGGGCAGTGACTGTCTTTGGCAGAAAGCACTGCTACCGCCTCTACACAGAGCACTTAAACGAAGCTGTGCATTGGGTTTGCGCCCTGCAGAAGGTCATCATCAGCAAGCCCCCCGTGCAGACCCCAACGCAGCTCCTCATGTGTGACATTGAGGTGAGTGGGGCGTGGGCCAGGAAGGGAATGGGTGCGATGCGAGGGCCAGGACACACCTGCCGAGGCTGTGAATGGGCCAACCCACTCTCCCGTCAGGCAGCAAAGGAGCAGGGAAGCCCTTGAGCACACCTGGCAGTTTCCTCCCTTAAATGAAGGGAGTGGCACCTGCACACACAGCATTTCTTACTCCTTTAAGGTCACGCTGCTGGTTTGGACTGTCATTTTTGCACGCTTCAATTCTTATTCATAACTGCTTTAAGAGCGTCTGCAATGTTACGGGCTTGACGGGTTGTTTAAACGTCTTTTTGATAATTATTATTTTACCTGCCGGCTCACCGCTGTTGTAAAATAATTTTTATTTGATTTTAGAAAATATATGAAAGTCAATTAAAAATCCATATACAGTGGTACCTCGGGTTACATATGCTTCAGGTTACAGACTCCGCTAACCCAGAAATAGTGCTTCAGGTTAAGAACTTTGCTTCAGGATGAGAACAGAAATCGGGCTACAGTGGCAGCAGGAGGCCCTATTAGCTAAAGTGGTGCTTCAGGTTAAGAACAGTTTCAGGTTAAGAACGGACCTCCGGAGCTAATTAAGTACTTAACCTGAGGTACCACTGTAAAGGGATTGCTCTAAATCTCACGACTCCCCCTCCACCATCCCCTCCATGGGTCCTAATGCCAATATTTACAACTGCATATCAATCCATTATCCACATTTTTTATCCATCTAAATCAGGCATCCTCAACCTTCGGCCCTCCAGATGTTTTGGACTACAGTTCCCATCATCCCTGACCACTGGCCCTGTTAGTTAAGGGTCATGGGAGTTGTAGGCCAAAACATCTGGAGGGCCGCAGGTTGGGGATGCCTGATCTAAATTATCCATCGCTTCTGTTGCCTTTCAAGTGTGATTAAAATCCTGCTAATGTTTTCATCTGCTTACAATGGTCTCCCAAATAAATTATAAATTTTCCCCATTCTTTTTTTAAAGTTCTTGTCTTCTTGGTTCCTGAGCTTTCCACTTAATTTTGCCATTTCAGCATAGTCCCATCAACTTGGTTTGCCATTCTTCCTTGGTCAGGATTGTTTCTTCTTTCCATCTGTGGGCATAAACATTTTTTAAATAATAATAATAATAATAATAATAATAATAATAATAATAATAATTTATTTATACCCCACTCTGGGCTGCTTCCAACCAAATATTAAAAACAATACAGCATCAGACATTAAAAACTTCCCTAAACAGGGCCTAAATTTAACAATCTAAGCCTCAGGGCAGGGGCTGGTTTCTGTCGGAGAGGCGAGGCCTATGCTAATTAAACAAACGACCAATTAATATTGTTGCGGGTAGGGGTGGGGAGATAGGCCCGTTCCTTATTGCTGACGTGCCCAAAAGTGTTAAGTTGCACCATCTGCCCTGAGGATTTGCAATGTGAAATGCAAACAGGTTTCGTGCCCAGAGCCCACGCGGACCTGATTAGCCACCTTTGGCGAAGGCAGCCCCTTTGTGATGGCAGCAGGTATTTGCATGCAGGTTTCCTAAAGCAGCTCTTCTGGGAAGGTGCTCTTGTCGGCACCACAGCAGTTCCCAGACTAGAATCAGTAGCTCTAGAAATTCTTCAGTCAGAGAAATGGCTCCATTAACAAATAGGTTAAGGGGAAATACAAAACAACCATTTACTCAAAAATGGGATGTGTTCAAGAAATACCTACAAAAATATAATAGCGATATAACATCTCTGGCAGCGATACGTTATAAGAAAGTATTAGAAAATATATTAAGAGTAAGCTAATAAGTATAAGTACATTCAATATTGTAAATGTAAAGTACATCAGGAAATGACGGGAAGTCTGTCTTAACATAGGGACGCAGGTGGCGCTGTGGGTTAAACCACAGAGCCTAGGGCTTGCCGATCAGAAGGTCAGCGGTTTGAATCCCCATGACGGGGTGAGTTCCTGTTGCTCAGTCCCTGCTCCTGCCAACCTAGCAGTTCGAAAGCACGTCAAAGTGCAAGTAGATAAATAGGTACCGCTCCAGCGGGAAGGTAAATGCCGTTTCCGTGCGCTGCTCTGGTTAAACCAGAAGCGGCTTAGTCATGCTGGCCACATGAGCTGTACTCCGGCTCCCTTGGCCAATAAAGCGAGATGAGCGCCGCAACCCCAGAGTCGGTCATGACTGGACCTAATTGTCAGGGGTCCCTTTAACTTTACCTGTCTTAACATAGTTTAGTTTAGTTTATTCTACTTTGGTTTATGGGACGCGGGTGGCACTGTGGGTAAAAGCCTCAGCGCCTAGGGCTTGCCGATCGAAAGGTTGGCGGTTCGAATCCCCGCGGCGGGGTGCGCTCCCGTTGCTCGGTCCCAGCGCCTGCCAACCTAGCAGTTCGAAAGCACCCCCGGGTGCAAGTAGATAAATAGGGACCGCTTACTGGCGGGAAGGTAAACGGTGTTTCCGTGTGCTGCGCTGGCTCGCCAGATGCAGCTTGTCACGCTGGCCACGTGACCCGGAAGTGTCTGCGGACAGCGCTGGCCCCCGGCCTCTTAAGTGAGATGGACGCACAACCCCAGAGTCTGTCAAGACTGGCCCGTACGGGCAGGGGTACCTTTACCTTTACCTTTAACTTTGGTTTATTTTTGTTTAGTTAGAAAATATAAGAAAAGAGCACGTATAAGTATAAATATTTAATGGTAAAATCATTTAAGGTTATTATTATTATTGTCGTCATCATCACTATTACCTTTGTATGTGAATATAAGATCATGTATGATATCCATGGAATTCAGTAAAAAAGATAGTAATAATAATGATAAAAAGACCCTTGTGTAAATCAAATATTAATAAATAAGGAAAAATGGTACAATATGTTATAAGAAAGTATTAGAAAATATATTAAGAGTAAGGTAATAAGTACATTCAATATTGTAAATGTACAGTACATCGGGAAATGATGGGAAGTCTGAACATAGTTTAGTTTATTTGATTCTACTTTGGTTTATTTTTGTTTAGTTAGAAAATATAAGAAAAAAGCACGTATAAGTATAAATTAATATTTAATGGTAAAATCATTTAAGGTGGTAGTTATTATTATTATCATCACTATTACCTTTGTACGTGAATATAAGATTGTGTGTGATATCCATGGATTTCAGTAAAGATAATAATAATAATAATAATAATAATAATAATAATAATAATGAAATTCTTTGGGCAGGGTGGACCTGTAAGTCAGCAAAAGCCTTCTGGGAAATGATTTATAGTGAGCTAAAAAAATGTTTAAAATAACTTGCGTTAAAAAACCAAAGGCTTTTCTATTAGGTATAATAGTAGAAGAGATAGCAAAAGAGGGAAAAGGTCCTATTTATGTATGTGATGACAGCGGCAAGAATGTTATATGCCCAGGGATGGATGGAAGGAAGGAAGAACCCCATCGAAAGAAGAATGGCTATTGAAATGGATGGATTATGCCGAAATGGCGAAACTGACCGGGAAGATTATATAGACCAAGAGCACACAAAAATTAGAAATGAATGGGTTAACTTTATAAGAACATATGAAGGAGCATTGCAAACATTTAAAAACGTTAGCAGGATTGGATTAGCGCTCGTAATATAATTTGATAAAGGGTATTGAAAAAGGCGACCTAATAGATTGGATAAAAGTATTTAGTCGCAGAAAAGAGAAGAGATAATTACTGGAAACCGGGGAGAGGAGTGGGGGAAAGTCCAGGGGTCAGAAGAACCCCTATAAAAATATTGAATTTGTTACGGATTAATGCAATTCGCTTTTTTTCTTTCTCCTCCCCATCCCAGGAGAACCGTAACAGCCCAGAAATCCTGGATCAGATTTATCAAAATAACCCCATCCTGTGCTACACGGCTGGCCCAATCTACGCGCCTCTGCTACCCTTCCCGTATGCAGGTGGGTGACCGCTTCCTTGCACACGGGTCAGCATCGTCCTAAAATTTGTTGGCTTCAGTCCTTGGGCACCACGTGCCGTTGACTGTACAGTCCAAGCAGTCCAGGAACTTGGTGGTACGTGTCTCAGGACCACAATACCTTAACGACCGCCTCTTCCCATTTGAACCTACCCAGTCCCTGAGTTCATCTTCTGAGGCCCTCCTTCGTGTGACTCCTCCTCGAGAGGTCCGGAGTGTGGCAACATGAGAACGGGGCCTTCTCTGCAGTGGCTCCCCGTCTGTGGAATGCTCTCCCCAGGGTAGTTCGTCTGGCACCTTCATTATACACCTTTAGGTGCTAGGCAAAAAGTTCCTTTTTAACCAGGCGTTTGGTTGATCTTGGGACGCGGGTGGCGCTGTAGGTTAAACCACAGAGCCTAGGACTTGCCGATCAGAAGGTCGGTGGTTCGAATCCCCACGACAGGGTGAGCTCCCATTGCTCGGTCCCTGCTCCTGCCAACCTAGCAGTTTGAAAGCACAAAGTGCAAGTAGATAAATAGGTACCGCTCCGGCGGGAAGGTAAACGGCGTTTCCGTGCGCTGCTCTGGTTTGCCAGAAGCGGCTTAGTCATGCTAGCCACATGACCCGGAAGCTGTCTGCCGGCTCCCTCGGTCAGTAAAGCAAGATGAGCGCCACAGCCCCAGAGTTGGCCACGACTGGACCTAACGGTCAGGGGTCCCTTCACCTTTACGTTTTTTGGTTGATCTTATTGACATCCAATCCAATACCCTTTTAGAATGTAGCTCTTTTTTTGGGCTATTTTTTTATTGGGCTATTGTTTTTAATTTGATTTTATATACAGTGGTACCTTGGTTCTCAAACTTAATCCATTCTGGAAGTCCGTTCCAAAACCAAAGCATTCCAAAACCAAGGCGCGCTTTCCCATAGAAAGTAAGGCAAAATGGATTAATCCGTTCCAGACTTTTAAAAACAACGCCTGAAACAGCAATTTAACATGAATTTTACCATCTAACGAGACCCTTGATCTGTGAAATGAAAGCCTTAAACAATGTACTGCAGTCACACAATCAATCAATCAATCAGTAGCTGAACTGGGTTCCTCACAGTCACAAAAACAAAACAAAAAGAGCCGCAAAAACAAAAACACAAAATGAATAGCAAAAACAGACAGACCTCAGCGAAACACTCAAAACGGAAGTGTGGCCCTCGAATCGGAAGCGTAACACTCAAAACGGAGCACGTTCGGCTTCCGAAAAAAGTTCGCAAACCGGAACACTTCCGGGTTTGCAGCGTTTGGGTTCCAAGTTGTTTGAGTACCAAGGCGTTTGAGAACCAAGATACCACTGTATTACCATTTTCTTTGTGAACCGCCCTGAGACCTTTATAGAGCGGTGTCTAAATCCAACAAACGATAATGGATCCTGAGCGCACGGCTTATTTCTCCCTGTGTCTCTGCAGCTCCCGGTGGCCAGGGCTACGCGGGGATCCGTGACGAAGCTGTCAAGCTGTTCCACTCACTGCAGCAGCTGGAGGGGCTGCGGGACCCGGCCCTTCTCATGCAGGGGGTGCTGCAGACGTGCCACGACCTCCCCGCCCTGGTGGACGAGATCTACTGCCAGCTGGTGAAGCAGACCACAGAGCCCCCAGCGCCGGGTGCAGCCGCAGACCTTCGCTACTGGCAGCTGCTTGCTTGCATGAGCTCCACCTTCAGGCCGTCGCTTCCTGTCCTCTGCTACTTGCAGCTGCACCTCCAGCGGTGAGCCCTGGGGCAAAGGGAAATCGGGGTGCGTTTGTGTATGGGGTGCGTGTGTTGCCTTGCTCACTGTCATCAGGCAGAGAGGCCAGAGATGATGGAATCGTGGAGATGGAAAGGACCTCAGGGTTCATCTAGTTCAACCCCCTGCGACGCAAGAAACTTTTTTCCCCCCAATTTTTTTTATTAATTTTCCAAAAAAATTAAACAAACAAACAAACATTTTAATTGTCCTTAATCCAATCTTAGTAACATTGTTAAGTGACTTCCTCAAATCCCCCTGGCTGAATTTCAGAGTATATCATTGTAACAGTTTTCCAAAACCAATTTTCTCGTTGTTGTTTAGTTGTTTGGTCGTGTCTGACTCTTCGTGACCCCCTGGACCAGAGCACGCCAGTCACTCCTGTCTTCCACTGCCTCCCGCAGTTTGGTCAAACTCATGCTGGTAGCTTCGAGAACACTGTCCAACCGTCTCGTCCTCTTTCGTCCCCTTCTCCTTGTGCCCTCCATCTTTCCCAATATCAGGGTCTTTTCCAGGGAGTCTTCTCATGAGGTGGCCAAAGTATTGGAGCCTCAGCTTCAGGATCTGTCCTTCCAGTGAGCACTCAGGGCTGATTTCCTTCAGAATGGATAGGTTTGGTCTTCTTGCAGTCCATGGGACTCTCAAGAGTCTCCTCCAGCACTATAATTCAAAAGCATCCATTCTTCGGCGATCAGCCTTCTTTATGGTCCAGCTCTCACTTAACATCTTTCTTTCTTTTCATTTTAACTTTAAACATGTTATTCTCTAACATTACATATTTAAATCCTAAGCCTATCTGGTATGTGCAAGTTTTTCCAATTAAGTTATCTTAATGTATTTAACTAAATAGTCTTTGAATTTCATCCATTCCTCCTGGTAGTCCTCTTCCTTCTGGTCGTGGACTCTTCCAGTCAGGTCGGCTTGCTCCGAAAAGTCCATCATCTTCATCTGCAACGCAGGAAACTTTTGCCGAATGTGGGGCGCGAACCCACAGCCCTGAGATGCAGAGTCTCATGCTCTGCTAGCCGAGCTATCACTTGGCAGAATCTTCTCTGCTACTCTAAGCAAAGGCAGTCCTGTTCTCCCTCTGCAACGACTCTTGTCGATAGGACGGTCAGGAAAGGGTCCCCTGTTCTCTCTATCTCTGTTGCTTGGAGGTGGAATGCAAAAAATTGGAAAGAAAAGATTGTCCCAACTAAGGATCAGTGGTTGGATAAATTAATAGAGTTTGCAGAGTTAGCAAGTCTGACGGCCGAATGAAGGATTAACAATGGAGGGGGCAGGGAGTGAATGGGAATGCCTTGAAGAGTATTTAAAGAAAGATGGCATTAAGGTAAACTGGCAAGTAGAATGAGCCTGTGATCAGCAGCGGAGAATACAGTGGTACCTCGGGTTTACATACGCTTCAGGTTACAGACTCCGCTAACCCAGAAATATTACCTCGGGTTAAGAACTTTGCTTCAGGATGAGAACAGAAATCGTGTTCCGGCGGCGCAGCGGCAGCAGGAGGCCCCCATTAGCTAAAGTGGTGCTTCAGGTTAAGAACAGTTTCAGGTTGAGAACGGACCTCCGGAACAAATTAAGTACTTAACCCTAGGTACTACTATATAAGTGATGGAGAAAAGGATGCTAAAATAAAGATGTAGCAAAAGAATGTGAATTGGATGTCGGGATAGGTTGGGAAGTCCATATAAGAGGATGACAGAATGACGAATGTGTGTAAAATATAATCTGGAAAAAAGGTAGAAATAAAGCTCCGTGCTTGGAGGCGGGATTAAACCTGCCAAGAGGAAGTAGACATTCTTCATGCCCTCCTGTATCTGCCACTGCCAGCAATTTGCCGGTCCTTTCCTTGGAATCTTGTTTGTGGATAGGGGTGTGGAGTGCTGAGCAACGTTCACAGGCGTGGGTTCCCTAATGCCGGTGTTTCCCTGGTCCCAGCAGGACAGAGAACCAGTTCCCAGCCTCAGAGGCGACTTGGTACGGACGCTTCATCGCAGAGGCCCTGCACAAGACCAAGGGGCGAGAGTGCGTGCCTTCGCTGGAGGAGATTGCGGGGCTGATGGGGCGCCAGGAGACCGAGTGCGGTGTGCATTGCCCTAGCGTTGCCACCTGCCATGTGGCCGTCACCTCCCAGACCACAGTCCAGGAGGTGAGCAGGGGCTGAGTGGCGAGGGTGGGTGGTGGGCAGGGGCGACACCAGTTGGGGCAAAATCCCTACCCATGAGGCTTGCAGGTTGCCAACACGAAGCTGCGGCTGAACGTGCGGATGATATTGGTGGCGTTTACTTGGGAGAGGGTGTTTGCGGGTGGCGCTGTGGGTTAAACCACTGAGCCTAGGGCTTGCCGATCAGAAGGTTGGCGGTTCAAATCCCCGTGATGGGGTGAGCTCCCGTTGCTCGGTCCCTGCTCCTGCCAACCTAGCAGTTCAAAAGCACGTCAAAGTGCAAGTAGATAAATAGGTACCGCTCCAGCGGGAAGGTAAATGGCGTTTTCGTGTGCTGCTCTGGTTCGCCAGAAGCAGCTTAGTCATGCTGGCCAATAATAATAATAATAATAATAATAATAATTTATTTATTTATGCCCCGCCTATCTGGCAGGGCTTCCCCAGCCACTCTGGGCGGCTTCCAGAGAAATATTAAAATACTGTAATACATCAAACATTAAAAGCTTCCTTAAACAGGGCTGCCTTCAGATGTCTTCTAAAAGTCTGGTTGTTCTTGTTCTCTTTGACATCTGATGGGAGGGTGTTCCACAGGGAGGGCGCCACTACCGAGAAGGCCCTCTGCCTGGTTCCCTGTAATATGACCCAGAAGCTGTACGCCGGCCCCCTCGGCCTATAGAGCAAGATGAGCGCCGCAACCCCAGAGTCGTCCGCGACTGGACCTAATGGTCAGGGGTCCCTTTACCCTTTACCTTACTTGGGAGAGAGGGGGGAGCAAGGGAAAGAAAACTTGCCTCTTTCTTCGCCAAAAGGCCCAAGCAGCCAGGATTTCGTCATGCATTGTGGTGCTGGCTGCTTCCGTTCTGTGGTGCAGTTGGCGAGAGATGAGGCAAGCTTCTTTTCCCTTCTCCTCCCACCACAGTGTACCAGTTGGGTCTCTGCGCCACTACCCTTCCGCCCCTACCCTTCCCCCCTCTCCGCCCCTCCGCATGCTTGACACTGTCTGTCTGTGTGTGTCCCCTTTGCAGCACTGAGTGCCCTCCTGCTGGACATGCCCAGGCCTCCTGTCACCCCCTTTGTCTCCTCGTCCCAGGTGGCCCTGGAGCTGATGTTGCGCCTGGGCCTGGCGCATAGCCCCAACTCATTTGCCCTCTACGAGGAGAGCTGGCAGCACGTGCGCCCCCTGCCGGAGGATGCCCTGGTGGCAGACGTTCTCACGAGGTTCGAAAGGTAAATGACCTCCCCTCAACCCAGTACAATTTAACCTGTGTCACAGCTGGACACACAGGAGCCAGGAGTTAAAAAGAGTTGGCAGCATGTTGAAAATCCCAACTCAAAGCAACATCCTAGCCTTTGCAGCTCCAGAGAGGATCTTGCAAATATACGGGGGAAGTGGCTTGGGCATGCTGGGTTGCTGGAGGAGGAATGTGCACGTGATTGCAGGGGTGGGGTCTATTTCAGCTAGCGGGAGCAAAACTCTGCAAAAATAAAAATTTAAAAAACCTATAGTTATGCAGGGCACACTTCTGAGATGAGTACAGAATGTATCTGACTTTGTGGGGAAGAGGGATACAGTAAAACCTCGGTTGTCGAATATACAGTGGTACCTCTGGTTAAGAACTTAATTCGTTCTGGAGGTCCGTTCTTAACCTGAAACTGTTCTTAACCTGAAGCACCACTATAGGTAATGGGGCCTCCCACTGCCGTCGTGCCACCGCCACCCGATTTCTGTTCTCGTCCTGCAGCAAAGTTCTTAACCCAAGGTACTATTTCTGGGTTAGCGGAGTCTGTAACCTGAAGCATCTGTAACCCAAGGTACCACTGTAACCCGTTCCGGAAGCCCGTTTGGCTTCCGAATGTTCAATGACCGAGGCGCAGCTTCCAGTTGGTTGCAAGAGCTTCCCCCACTCAGGCGGTAGCTGCGTCGGACGTTTGGCTTCTGAAAAACGTTCGAAAACCAGAGCATTTACTTCCAGGTTTTTGGCATTCAGGAGCCGAAACGTTCCAAAACAGAGGTGTTCAGGAACCGAGGTTTGACTGTTATCAAGCTAGCAGGAAAGTTTCAGTCTTTTTCGTCTGCCCCAGTATCCGTGGCATATGCGGTCAGAAGATTGGATCAGGTTAGGGCGTTTTTGCATGTCCCAGAACTGACGGGATGTCTTTGCTTGCCTTGTTCTAGCTCAGCTGGGGAAGAGCCACCCAGGAAGCTCCCTGGCAGACTCTGGTTCAGGCATTATGGGTGTCTGAACCTGGACTGCGTCCCCTGCAACAGCCAGGAGTTTGCCGTGCTATTTGAACAGGTAAGAGCTCACGCTGACCAAGAGAACAAGCTTGCAGGTGTGGGGAGTGCTGTTGTTCCAAGCGACACACCCTCTCCCTGCAAGGCCCATTAGCTGTTCATCTACGGCCGTATTGCCCATTTCGAGCCTTGGGCTGCGTCACACTTGCCGAACCTGAATGGAGGCTTCTGCACCCACGCCCACATCCCTTGCTTAGACCAGCTTTTCCTTATTGACCTGCTGTCCACCCGCCTTAGTTGCCTGCTCTCTAATTCCAAGATCTTCCTTACCACCAGGGGATCTCTCGCTGGAGCATCGTCTGCTGGGCTGTGGGCTCTCCCGCCCGCGGTCAAGCTGCGAGCGGAGTGGAAGCAGCTCCCGTGCAGCCATTTCCTGGAGACAGCCTCTCTGATGGGAGTTGCCGCGTGCGAACGGAAACAGATACAGGGGACGAGGCACGCAGAGATCAGCCTGGCGGGCACGTGGTCGGCCTTTGGGTCTGTCCTCTGTGATGCAGAGGTTTATTTATCAGGTAAGTCGTCCCCCCTGCATTTCCCTATTTCCAGGCATGACTTGAGAAGGTACCGTATTTTTTGCTCTATAAGACTCACTTTTCCCCTCCTAAAAAGTAAGGGGAAATGTGTGTGCGTCTTATGGAGCGAATGCAGGCTGCGCAGCTATCCCAGAAGCCAGAACAGAAAGAGGGATTGCTGCTTTCACTGCGCAGCGATCCCTCTTGCTTTTCTGGCTTCTGAGATTCAGAATTTTTTTTTTCTTGTTTTCCTCCTCCAAAAACTAGGTGCGTCTTGTGCGTCTTATAGAGCGAAAAATACGGTACATGATGGAGAGAACTACGAGAGACCAGTGGCACACACTCGAGGCCAGCCGTGAGGAGTGGTGGGCAGGCACTGCTATTTGGCAAAGCAGGATCCGACCATTAGTGTGGAGGGAGGATTTTCCAAGATATGTAGCACACTCTGGTATCAAAACAGATTTGGGTGTATTTGCAGGTGGCGCTGTGGGCTAAACCACAGAGCCTAGGACTTGCTGATCAGGTCGGCGGTTCGAATCCCCGCGACGGGGTGAGCTCCCGTTGCTTGGTCCCTGCTCCTGCCAACCTAGCAGTTCAAAAGCACGTCAAAGTGCAAGTAGATAAATAGGTACCACTCCGGCGGGAAGGTAAACGGCGTTTCCGTGCGCTGCTCTGGTTCGCCAGAAGCGGCTTAGTCATGCTAGCCACATGACCCGGAAGCTGTCCGCCGGCTCCCTCGGCCAGTAAAGTGAGATGAGTGCTGCAACCCTAGAGTTGGCCACGACTGGACCTAATGGTCAGGGGTCCCTTTACCTTTACCTTAGAGGGGCAGGAAACTGCATAGGAGGGGTAAGCCGAGCTCTGACCTTCCCCTATTTTCTTCTCAGGCAAAGGAGGCGGTGCATCAGGCCCAGCGTATTCCGCACGGAGCTGCAGGAGGAGACTCCTGCTGTGACCGTCACCAACAGACAAAGGACTGCACTTAACCAAACAGCCAGCGATGGGACCCTGCCTGCTCTGACTGTTCGCCCTGGCAGCAGCCTTGAAGGCCAGGGAGATCTAGTGCCTTCCCCAGCCAGACACTTGTAGTGACGATACCCGTGGTACTTTATGCTCCTAAGGAGCTGGAAACATATGTCCTCTCCTGTGTAGAGGGATCCCCTTCCCCAACGCGTGTAAAAATTTATTTATATCGATAGATCTCCTTTCCTCCATTCGGTCTCTCGGAACAAGTAGTTGGCACGCTTCTCTCTTCTGCCCGTAAAGCTGCAGGCGGCTTGACACTGTGCCTATCGTCTGGTCTGTGCAGGCAGTGCCGTGTTTTAACTCACACATAAAGAGATGGTGAAGAACAGCGGAGGACTTGGGAGTGCTAGGTAGCATCTCCTCCTATGGCTCTCTCTTGCAAAGCTGTTTTTTTTAAAAAAAACAAAACAAAATAAATGTAGTAAACACAAGCCAGTGGCTGCTTAGCTTTGAGCTGGATGAAGTGTGTCTTGTGAGAGGGATTACCAGTTTCCCCCCGGAGTTTCTTGTCTCTTTTCCCACCACAAAGGCCTCTGGCCAAGTTGTTCTGAGCCCAGCTGATAGCATCGTGATTTATCGGCGAGAATCGTTTTTTTAAAGGCAGGGTGTAAATCTATAAATACTGTACGGTAACAGGGTGCCTCTAAAACAGCTGGTGCTCATGTTGCATTGCGTGGCCTCTTGCCTTTTTGTGCTGAACCTCTAATATCGTAGCTCGTTTTTCCGATCTCTCTCACGGCATGGCGGATGGCTTCCAATCTGCACCATCCGTAAGAGCATTCATGTGAACAGAGGCTTGCTCAGCAGCAGATTTGTGCACATGGAGTTTCCACACCTTCTACACAACGCCTAAAGAAAAGGATTTCACAAGAGTTCTGAGTAAATGGAAGTCCAGGGGCCTGCTGGACCAGGGTGAGAGAGCCCACGTCACGCTACAAGCATTTTGGCAAATAGTTATGTTTTCTTTGAAGTCCACAAATTGTGTCAAGACCCGATAGGCAGCAGGGAAATGCGGAAAGCTGCTTTGAAGCACACACAGAATGACTTTCACTTATCTACTGAGCAAGTGTATTGAGCCCGAACCCACAAGAATCTGAAGTGGCCTTCAGCCCATGCTGAAATCAGAACTCAAAGAAGGTTACTCTCGTCTCCCCAGCTGCAACCTCCAGGATGATCTTAACACACACCAGTTTAGGCCTGGAAAACATTTTTCAAGCCTAACCAATACAGGGGGAAGAGAGGCAGTAAGTATAAGGTAGGTTCTCACGGGCCCCAAAAGGTTGGCAACCCCTAACTCCCATCTCCAGGGACGTGGGTGGCGCTGTTGGTTAAACCACAGAGCCTAGGACTTGCCGATCAGAAGCTTGGCGGTTCGAATCCCTGCGACGGGGTGAGCTCCCGTTGCTCGGTCCCTGCTCCTGCCAACCTAGTAGTTCGAAAGCACGTCAAAGTGCAAGTAGATAAATAGGTACCACTCTGGCGGGAAGGTAAATGGCGTTTCTGTGCGCTGCTCTGGTTCGCCAGAAGCGGCTTAGTCATGCTGGCCACATGACCCGGAAGCTGTATGCCGGCTCCCTCAGCCAGTAAAGCGAGATGAGCGCCACAACCCCAGTCGGCCACAACTGGACCTAATGGTCAGGGGTCCCTTTACCTTTACCTCCCATCTCCACTGCTCGTGCCCTACGTACCAAGAAAACAGAGTCCCACCAAAAGCTTCTGAATGCATCCAGCAGCACTTAATAGTTCAATTCCACCTCTTGCCACCAAAAGTCCACTGTAACCGTTTTGGGGATTTCTTCTTTGCACCAATCTCCCCCTTTTTTAAAGAGAGCCGCCCATTCTACATAAACAAGATCAAGTCTTTCTTGTTTAATCAAACACTCCCATTTGTGGGATGGGCGAAACACCCCCTGTTTCTGGGACACTTTTTCAGGGGACGGATGGGTCACCTATGAGCCACTTGCTACAAAAACAGCATTGGCTGGAGTGTAGCAAGACAGCGGGAAAGAATAAAGAGCGTGAAGTATCGCTCCCTCGCGCGTCAGGAAGTGACAACAGCTGAAAAGGTTAATCTGGCAGTATATTGTTTTTAAAGAGGGCAAAATACGAGGCACTCCTCGGTTCTGATCACCCAGCATAAATTCTTGCCCATCATGACAAACCCATTTGTGGGCTCCTGTTTCCTCCTGCAGTGCTTGGGCTGTGCAGAGCAGAGGGAGACAACCTGTAGCCTAATTTGGCGGCGGCAGCAGGGCCAACCCCACCTCAGTTCCCATGCAGCCCCTGCCAAGCCACCCTTACGCCGGTGCATCCCTCAACAGGCTGAGCCACCCTAATGCAGTTTCCTCAAGGTGCAAGAGCTTTTAGAAGAATTCATGGTAGGGAATAGGAGGAGAATCCTATTGTGTTGTTTGAAGCAAAAGAAAACAAATGCCATTGCTACCCAAAAGAAAAGGGAATAAAGGGTTCCTTTGTCCAGCAGCTTTAAGAGCAAGAATTATGTCTGTTTCATCCCTGCTACTGGTCTCCATGGTCCTGTCCCTTTATCAGCATGAACCTCCCTGTTAAAAAAAAGGTAGCCGGATGCTATGATAGAGGTTCTGCCCTGCCCTGCCTCGCCTGTTAGTCTGGTACAGTGGTACCTCGCAAGACGAATGCCTCGCAAGACAAAAAACTCGCTAGACGAAAGGGTTTTTTGTTTTTTGAGCTGCTCCGCAAGACGATTTTCCCTATGGGCTTGCTTCGCAAGACAGAAATGTCTTGCAAGTTTGTTTCCTTTTTCTTAACACCGTTAATACAGTTGCGACTTGACTTTGAGGAGCAATTCATAGAACGCGGTGTGGTAGCCTTTTTTGAGGTTTTTAAAGACTTTGGTGATTTTTGAAGCTTTTCCAAAACTTTTCCAAAGCTTTTCCAAAACACCGTGCTTCGCAAGACGAAAAAAATCGCAAGACGACAAAACTCGCGGAACGAATTAATTTCGTCTTGCGAGGCACCACTGTATCTCCTCACGCGTGTCCTGTCTTACGTGTAGCTACGGCACAGTTTCTTTCAGCTGCTGTGGGACGGTAACACAAAATACCTTAAGATCGTACACAGAAACACAGATACCTAGTTAACTTCAAAACATTGCATTTCTTAATCCGTTTTGGTGCTTATTTCCGCCTGCAATTGAATACGTTTCAATAAAACACATGCGCGACATGAAAACCGCTTAGCAGAGGAAAAAGCTTCTTAGGGACACGGAAAGGAACAAACAAGAAAAGGAGCTATCCTAATGCTGCTAAACCAGACTCGCTCCAGGGGAAAATGCCAAAGGGACAGCCTGGTTCTTTTAAGGCAACGGGGGTGCAGTCAGGCCCGGGAATGGGAGCATTAGGCTGCAGTGATGGAGAATTCTAACAGGAGAGTCGAAAACAACACAAGGAATCCCTTCCCCTGTTTAGGGACCTGCAAGTACCCTCACAGCCCCAGCCCTGGGTCACAGAAGGTGCAGGACGGCATATTTGTCACTTCCGGAGGGGATGCCATGCCTCACTGCTCTTGTGTGCCCCAGGAAATGTAGTCGGGCCGAGTGGCGGCGTGGTATTCGTCTATCAGCTCCTGGACAACCTTCCGGGAGTCGTCCAGCTCGTCAAAGTTCTCCTTGAAGATGTCCTCCTTGCGGAACTGCTCCAGGAAGGCTTCGCGTTTGCGCAGCTTGTCGTACTGCTGGCAGGTGCGTTCAAAGAGCTGGGTAAAAAGAAGAAGAGTTTGGATTTGATATCCCGCTTTATCACTACCCTAAGGAGGGACGCGGGTGGCACTGTGGGTTAAACCACAGAGCCTAGGGCTTGCCGATCAGAAGGTCGGCGGTTCGAATCCCTGCGACAGGGTGAGCTCCCGTTGCTCGGTCCCTGCTCCTGCCCACCTAGCAGTTCGAAAAGCACGTCAAAGTGCAAGTAGATAAATAGGTACCACTCCGGCGGGAAGGTAAACAGCGTTTCCGTGCGCTGCTCTGGTTCGCCAGAAGCAGCTTAGTCATGCTGGCCACATGAACCCGGAAGCTGTACGCCGGCTCCCTCGGCCAATAAAGTGAGATGAGCGTCGCAACCCCAGAGTCGGCCACGACTGGACCTAATGGTCAGGGGTCCCTTTACCTTTACATTTAAGGAGTCTCAAAGCGGCTAACAATCTCCTTTCCCTTTCTCCCCCACAACAAACACTCTGTGAGGTGAGTGAGGCTGAGAGACTTCAGAGAAGTGTGACTAGCCCAAGGTCACCCAGCAGCTGCATGTGGAAGAGCGGAGACGCGAACCCGGTTCACCAGATTACGAGTCCACCGCTCTTAACTACTACACCACACAGCTCAGAAAGCCACAGGGGGGCAGGGCGCTGTAGATTTTGCATCAAGGTGGAGCCAAGCTGAAATAAATTGGCAACTTAAAAAAACCAACAACTACGGTATGTTTTGTGCAGTAGGGTTGCTAATAGTTCCAATGGCTCCTGCTGCTCAGAATGCAACTAGGCCTCTCAGCACTTGAAAGAGCTCTGCTGCCCAATGTATTACAGATTTAGTTGCAGCGGGGAAGGATTTTTTTCGCTGCTGCCATCTCTGGCTGCATCTAGAGCCTCTGAACCAGCTGTCAACAGGGGCTGGGGATCTCTTGGGATGGTCTACCCATGGAGGCTTTTAAAGCCTAGTGGTTTCATCATTATCATCATACACCACCCATTTGGCTGAGTTGTCCCAGCCACTCTTGGCGTCTTCCAACACACATATAAAAACATAATAAAAGCATCAAACATTAAAACAGGGCCGCCTTCAGATGTCTTCTAAAAATCAGATAGTTGTTTATTTCCTAGACATCTGATGGGAGGGCGTTCCACAGGGCGGGTGCCACTACCGAGAAGGCCCTCTGCCTGGTTCCCTGTAACATCACTTCTTGCAATGAGGGAACCGCCAGAAGGCCCTCGGAGCTGGACCTCAGTGTCTGGGCAGAACGATGGAGGTGGAGACGCTCCTTCAGGTCTAGTGGGCTGAGGCCGTTTAGGGTTTCAAAGGTCAGCACCAACACTTTGAATTGTGCTCGGAAACGTACTGGGAGCCAATCTTTCAGGACCGGTGTTACATGGTCTCGGCAGCCACTCCCAGTCACCAGTCTAGCTGCCGCATTCTGGATTAGTTGTAGTTTCCGGGTCACCTTCAAAAGTAGCCCCACGTAGAGCACATTGCAGTAGTCTGAGACGGAGATAACCAGAGCATGTGCCATAGTTCTCTGGCCAGCCCTTTGCTCCATACAGTCACAGCAACGCCCTCTTCCAAACAACCCATAACCACCCACCCTTTACTAGAAGCCTCCCCAGCAACATCTTACAGGACTTTCTTTTCTCTCCCAGATTTACTTTCAGAGAGCTATCTTCTTTCGGCCCTTGCTTTTCTTACATATATCTCAACAAACTTGAA